AAGTGAAAATACCAGCTTCTTTACATTGTAAAGATTAAACAAACAAAACCATCTAGGGAAGCAGCCACCACCAGAAATCTAAGTAATAGCAAATCACAAGCATTTAATAGAACAAAATTCACACAAGCCCAAACCCAATCTTCTCTACTGAAACAACCTTTCAGACATCACTGAGACAGAATCTCAGCAAGCTTACATAGCTGTAGGGGAAATTGCAAGGTATCAGCATGCTGGTTTCACCCACCATTAGGATGATCCCAGTTTTATAGAGTGCTCTTAAGTATCAGCCTCAGCTTAATCAGCCATCATCTGAGTTCACCCTACCTTAGCATCATACCTTTTTTTTGTTTCCTACCTTTTATGACGTCACAACATCCTATGTTGTCCTCACTCTGAAGTGAAAAATTTGACTGAAACAAATGTGCTCCTGCCATGCAGTAGCCATGAAGTTGGTAGCCCTGACATTAAAAGATCTTCTGCTTTCTTTGCCTCCTCAGAGCACAGAGGGCAGCAAGACAGAGGCAGCTTGATTTCAAAAGATGTCTAAGGAACCAGGTAGCCACATATGCTCCATAGATGCTTCCCCTAATGATTAATCAGCACATTCACTGCTTGGGAATTGCTAGATAGCCTCTTAACACTTCCCATTTTACTGCTAATTGAATGTAATTATCCCATTAGATTGACAGTCTTTTGCACCTCTGGAGATGGAGCGAGATTACATGAGCATAGAATCAGGCTAGGTATTAAGACAAGGACAGTGGAAGGGCAGCCTCAGGTCAGGCTATGCTATGCTGGGAACAGTCTCTCTGCTACTTGCAGGGCTTTTATTAATGCTAGCAAGCTCCTGCCTCTAATCTTTAGGGAAGACAACTGCACTGCTCCCATGATACAAATTCAGAGCAACTGTATGAACCTGCTCAGCCTACTTTGTTAGACATGAGTAACCACTATCCTCTTCTAGCTGGAGATGGCTCCAGAAACTTAATTACTGAAAGAGGAATTTAACTGCGTGTTACCTTACTGTCTTTGTCATTTCATGTTAGCTCTTTAAAAATTAATTACAAATCTGAATTATAATGCAAACATCCTTGCTGGTGTTGCTCTAGGACCTAGGAACCTCTCTGGTTGTGCAGGGGTGCAGTACATGTGATGCCTCTGTAGAAAACAATCAATCTATGCAAAAGGGTTGTCCTGGTTTTGGCTAGGCTCATTTTCTTCCTAGCAGCTGCTATAGTGCTGCTGTTGGGGTTTAACCCTGCAGGCAGTTTAACACCACAGAGCCCCTTGCTCACTCCCAGCCTCCCTCAGTGGGATGGGGGAGAGAATAGGAAAAAAGAAGGTAAAACCCATGGGTTGAGATAAAGACAGTTTAATAAAACAGTAGAGGAAAAGAGTGATAGTGATAATAATATACAAGTGACGCACAATGCAATTGCTCACCACCCGCTGACTGATGCCCAGCCCATCCCTGAGCAGCTCTCACACTCATCACTCTCCCCCAGCCAGCTCCCCCCCATTTCTATACTGGACATGATGCCATATGGTCTGGAATAGCCCTGGGGCCAGTTGGGGTCGGCTGTCCCAGCTGTGCCCCCTCCCAGCAACTTGTACCCCTGGCAGAGCAGGAGAAGCTGAAAAGTCCTTGCCTGGTGTAAGCCCTGCTCAGCAACAACTGAACCATCAGGGTGTTACCAACATTCTTCTCATCCCAAATCCAAAACACAGCACTGTGCCAGCTGCTAGGAAGAAAATTAACTCTATCCCAGCCAAGACCAGAACAGCTGTGGCTTTTTAAATCTTCACTTACTCATGTCTGCACCAGCTAGTTTGCTTTCCTTTTCTTTTTTCTCTTTGCCCCATGAAGGAGTATGACATTACCCTCTAAAAGACAAGGCATACATTCATTGTGTCTGTGTCAAACAGGTTCACGTCAATAGGTTT